TGGGTCCCAGTTACACTGTTTTAACCTCTACAGTGGGTGAGGGGTGTAGATTAGCCCTTGCCTCAGTGTTGGGAGGGCACTCAGGGTCTGGCAGTATTAACTTAAGATTGTTTTTGTTACTGCTGTGGATTAGTGCTTATCCCCTGGTGGAGCAGGAACACTGCCGCTGAAAAGGTGGAGGTGGCCAGGCAGGTCTTAGTGTCTGTGAGCCCTACCCAACTCTCCTGCAGATGGTGGTGGCCCTATCAGGTTCAGACCGAGTGGCAAACTGATAAGGCCCCCTACCCTGCCAGACAGGGGAGGGGGTCCCAGAATGGGAAGAAATGTTGGGAGTTTCAGTTTCCAAAACCCACTTACCTTCAAAAAAGCAGGTTATGAAACAGTTATTTACATTTAAAATGAGGGGGACTTAGAGTGTGGTGACTTAGCAGAGAAAATCTGAGAATGCCCGTAAGTTGGCCCTAGAGCTTCCCTGTCCAGGAGATAATGTGAAGCTTGGGGTTGGGACTTACTTAGGGACCTAATCCCGTTACTGGTGGGAAAATTGAGGTCCCAAGTGGAGCTTGCTGTTCCTCAAGCCAAAGTGTGACAATAAGTTCTCGTTTCTATAAAGCAGATGAGGTCCATAAACCTGGGCACTGAGATGCTGCCAACGAGTGGCGCTGGGATCCAGACTGCTGCTGGCTGGACGGTCCTGCGCCAAGCCTTGTGAGGGCAGCTTGGGGAAGGACACATCCAGCACCTCTGTGTGCTGGGGTCATGGAGGTCTCCCAGCATTTTTCACTGATTCCAATGCTTGTGCTTATCAACTACAGTCAGAAAAATAAACAATGCATTCTTTTGTGAAGTTAGGGACAGGAAGCTGGCCCTGAGGAGCAACTGGGGAAATGGTGGACTCCTCCAAACCTGAACCTTCCACTAGCCCAGAGGTGGCTTGTCTGGAGGTCCAAGGTTCTGTCCAGGGAGTTAGAGAAGGGAGTCCTGAGCTACAGTCCTGGTCCATGAGTTTGGTTGCCTGCAGACTCTCAGGGCCCCTGCGGAGAGGCCTCCATGACTACAGCTGGCCATCTCCCTAGGATCCCCTATCCCCATCTACCCCACCTCTCAGCCTCACTTCCTGCTCCTGCATCTGCATTTCCATTCAGGGGCACTGCTGGGAAGTGTGAGCAAACTCACAAACTTTTTGATTATACATAAAGGTAAGACACACAAGACAGATAAAGGCTTGCAAAATCTGTAACAGAAGGTAACGATCCCTCACAAATAACACATCCAAACCATCCAAGAAGGACAGACAACTCATAAGGAAAATAAGAAGGCAATTCTCAGATACTGGCACATAACCAGGTGATACAGTTCTCTCAGTAATAATCAAAGAAATGCAGTATAGAATAAGACATCATTTTCTTTTTTTGGAAATTTTGGAAAAAATTAAAATCAGTGGTATGCAGCTCCATGCAAGGCAATGCATCTGTTGGTAGCTGCTGAGACATTTCAAATGCATGTACCCTTTGTGTGTCAGCCCACAAATCTGTCCTGCAAAAATACATGTTTGTTACAGTGTCAGAGCAAGCGCACTACCTTCAACAGTGAAAATGCTCATTCCTCAGTCAAGGGGTTAACTTCTGATGCATTTGATGTGCTTGGGAAAGATACAGAAATAGATACAGGAGACTTAACTTCAGTCACTTTCTGGGGAAGCCTGGAATAGGGTGGGTGGGGTGATGTTTTTCAAACATCTTTATTGACATAATTCACATACTGCAAAGCTTATCATTCAAAGTGTACAACTTAGACTGGGCGCAGTGGCTCACACCTGTAATTGCAGCACTTTGGGAGACCAAGGCAAGAGGATTACCTGAGCCCAGGATTGGCAAAATGGCAAGACATCATCTCTACAATAAATAAAAAAAGTGGTTGGGCATGGTGGCATGTCTGTAGTTTAGCTACTTGGAAGCTGAGGGGGAAGGATCGCCTGAGCCCAGCAGGTAGAGCCTGTGGCATCTGTGAGTGAGCCACTGCACTTCAGCCTGGGTGACAGTGAGACTCTGACTAAAAAGAAAAAAACAAAAAAGCTGTACAATTCAATTTTAATGTATTCACAGAGCTGTGCCACTATTACCACAGTTAGTTTTAGAACATTTTCATCATTCTCCCTCAAAAAACCATATTTATTAGCAATCACTCCTTATTTCCCCCAATCATCCTAGCCCTAGGCAGCCACTAATCTACTTTCTTTTTGTCTCTATTGATTTGCTTATTCTGTACATCTTATATAAACACAATCATATGTTTGTTTTCAAGGTTGATTCATGTACCAGTACTTAATTCCTTTTTATGGCTGAATAGAATTCTATTGTATGGATTATATCACATTTTATTCACCCATTCAACAGTTGATGTACATTTGGGTTTTTCCACTTTGGGTTGTTATTTTTTTTTTTTTTTTT